GGGCGCGCTGGAATTGACATTTTTGCCATAATGGTGTCAATTTGCATAACAATGAATGGAGCTTTTTAAGTTGGGATTTGAGGTTAACTTTTTTGTTTGCGTGAATTTTCTGCTTTCGTCTTTCTCTCTCCGTTTCTTTCCTCCAGTGACAGAGGTCTCCATTGTTGTTGAAGTTGGTGGATTATCTAGACCGTTCTGTTGAAGATAATGATATTACTGTAGTGTTAATTTGAATAGCCATTAAATCGAAAGTGAAATTCTGCAAATTCTACCACGAAAAGGGAAGAAAACAAAAAAAGAAAGAAAAAAATAATGGTAATGATATATTTAAAAAAGAAAGAAAGAAAAAGTAATGGTAATAAATAACATAATAATCATGACAATAAGAAGTAATGCGACAATAAGTATCAGCTAGGCCCTTTTGAATGAAAATCGCGATCAAGATGAAAAGAACAATAGCCATGAGCTAACGAGGATGATTAATACTATCATATGACGTTTGAAAAAAACAACAACTATAGTTTGATAACAGCGCCACACAAACCAGGCGATAGACCATACTGGATTAGTGATTATATATATTCCAATAACGAATGTCTTATCACAACAAAGAGAAAGAGTTAGGCAACAAGGATGTACAGTTTGTGAAATCCTGTAACAATGCAGTATCTTAATTTCTTTATATACATGTAATTTTAGCTAACAAGCAGCGAGTACAATATCTTAATAACGTAATGTACGAATAATGACAAGAAATCTAATCCTTATACAAAAAACAATAACAAACAGACACAAAATAAACTAAAAATATAACTTAACAACAAAAAAACTCGTCAAGAACAAAATGACTTAACGACTCAGCTTCATAACTTAATTTTCACAGGCACACAACAGCAACAACTACAACAACAACAACAACCTGCTTTAAACCTCTATGGCATTCCCTTCTTGACATAAATCATCAGCGCAGGATAAATCAACGGGGGTCAATTAACTAAAAGCACCTGATATTTCCATTTCATGACTCGTTAAGCCTGGGATTTCATTATGCTCTTCGTCCCCTCTCTGGCTCTGCTTCTCTCTCTCTCCCCCTCTCTCTTATCTCCTATTCCACTTATTGCTTTATTTTTCTATTCCTTTCCCTCTTTTTTTCTCTCTCATTTTTGTATCTCCCTTTAGTCTGCCTTTCTATGTTTCCCCCTTTCTATCCCCTTTCTTGCCTTATTTTCCGTTCCCTCCCTCTTTCTTTCTCATTTTTTGTATCCCCTTTTACTCTGTCTTTCCATCTTTTCTGTCTTTTTTCTTTCACCTCTCTCTCTTCCCTAATCTCACATCCTCTGCTTCTCTCCCTCTCTCTCTCTTATCTCCGATTCCCCTACTTGCCTTATTTTCCATTCTCTCCCTCTTTCTTTCTCACTTTTGTATCCTCCTTTACTCTGCTTAACCATTCCCCCCTCCTTTCTTTTCTTTCCCCTTTCCTCCTCTTCCCCTCTTCATCTCTCTCTAAATTAACAATGTTAATTTAAAATTTAATGAGGTGGCCACCGGCACAGCTGTAAATGTATTTTAAGAAGGAAATGATATACCTAGATGCTATAGATGGCGGAGAGAGAGAGAGAGAGAGAGAGAGAGAGAGAGAGAGAGAGAGAGAGAGAGAGAGAGAGAGAGAGAGAGAGAGAGAGAGAGAGAGAGAGAGAGAGAGAAATTGTCTTGAAGTGTAAACTCTTTTTTGTTATTGTTTTCTCATATATATTTTTGTTTGATTATGTAAGGAGTTTCAAGAGCTCCATGGAAAACCATAACGAATTTCCTTCAGTAACCTTCTATGCTTTAAGCTGTGATTTAAAAACTATCGTGTAATTCAGATATCCAATCTTACAACGAGCAACTTGTTATTTACATTTTCTGTGTACACAATTAAATCAACAAATGTTATCACAGATTACATATGAATCGTATTTGACTTTCATTTTTTCCTGGCATATCATAAAAGGGAATATCGATTAGACCTTAACTGCAACTCTTAACACCACAGGCTGCCATTGCGAAGGTAAGGAGAAAGGGTTATGCTAAGCACTGAAACGATTTCACCAGAAATACTGTCCGCGTCTGTACTATTTTACTTTATCATCGTGTGCCTTAGACCTTAACTTACACTGAGCTTGTGTTATTTTTTCCTTACAATTAGGTCCCACTTCATAACCAGCTTGCGTGTGAAGTACATAAGTGTAATTTGTATTTATCATAGTGGACGATCTATTCTAGTACTTTACAATGTACAAAAATATGGGGGATGGGAGGAAATAAGGTAACACACCACGAATTCAAACTCTAGTGGACAACAATAAACGGCGCTATGAACGTAACATTAAGTGATGTGGAAGTCTCCCTTCAGAAGTCTCGTGAACGTCTTCTTGAACTGCTGGTTAGCCAAGGCGTAGCAGAACGGGTTGATGGGGCTGTTGGCGTAGCACAGGAAGTAGAAGAACATGTACACGTGGGCGTTGGTGCACAGGCAGACGGACTCCATGATGGCGATGATGTGGTAGGGCGTCCAGCAGGCCACGAAGGCGCCCATGATCACCGAGATCGTCTTGAGGGCTTTGTTGGCGCGGTTCTGCGACTTGGACTTCTTCTCCTCCTGTTCCTTCTTCTTCTTCTTGAAGCGGATCTTCTTGCCGAGGTTCTTCAGCACGGCCTTCTTATTCTGGGCCTTGTCCTCGTCCTGGCAGCCTTCAGCATCGGCGCTGTGGCCTCTGGGCGTCTTGAAGGGGCTGCTGCAGGAGGCGCTCACGGGGCCCCCGTTGGCGGGCTTGGCGGGCGCGCTGTTGCCCTGAGCCTTCGCCGGCACCACCGCTATCTGCGGGGGCAAGGCGGACGGCGCCAGGGTGATGGCGGTCGTGGGGTCCCTCAGGGGCGGGGTCGGGACCTTCTTCGCCGCCACGGCCGGCTTGGCAGCCTCTTTGACCGGCGTGGGCGGAGGCGGGAGGGGCGGGCTCGAGCCTAAAGTGTTCTTTAAGGGCGGCGAAGCAGGCTTTGGCGTCGAGGCATTGGAGGAGTCCAGGCCATTTCGGAGTGACCCGTTGCCGTTGTTAGAGGGGACAGGCGTGGGCGTGAGGGTCGCCGACGGGGACGGGGCGGCCGTGGGCGCATCCAATCGGCGGGACGAATCCTCTGGGGACGCCGTGGCGTCGTGGTGCGTCCAGGAGGACGACGGAGGGCTCTCTACAACGGGCGACGGTACGACCACCGAACTCTCGTCCATGAATCGCAGGTCGCTGGTGTCCATGGACACTACGCAGTCGTAGGTGCTGAGGGTGGGCGTGGTGGGCTTAATGTCCAACGTGGTGGGTCTCTGAGGCGAGAGCGGGTTGTCGGCGAAGGCTGCCGGCGGAGCGATGGCCTCGATGGCGGCTGCGGTGGTAGGCGTCAGGGGCGTGGACGCGGCCAGGGGGTTGAGGCCGGGCTGGAAGGGCGTGGAGGACGACGGGGGAGGGGGCACTATCGGGATGTCGGCCAAGGGGGAGGACAAAGCGCTAGGGACGCCCGAGTTCTGGCCGGAGCCCAGGATGGCGGCCACGGAGTCTGCGGGGACAGGGTGGATGACGGGCAGCGCTAGCAGCGGGTCGCAGTTGTCGGCGTCCAGGAGGCTCTGCTCGGGGATCTTCTTCAGCGCCTCTGGCGGCGGGGACCTCTTGTTGGCTGGCAGAGGCGGAGGCTCAATCTTGGGCAGGCTGGAGCTGCTGTCCCTTTTCTCGTCCTCGCTCTCGATGCCACTGCTGGACTTCTCCTGCTCCTTCTCGGGGTCCTTCTTCATCTCCATGAAGCTGGTGGTCTCTGTGGTGGCCGTTGAGGCGAGCTGCGGCGGCTTCACGAGCGCCTCCTTCGGCTTGTCTTGGCTGAGGAGTGTGCTCTGCGTCTTGGACATTGTTAGGCTGCCTCCTCCACCTCCACCTCCGCCTCCGTTGGCGCTGCTTCCTCCGCCATCTGCACTGCCGCTGCTCTTCCCTGCGAGGCTTGGCGCTGCGGTACTCGACTTGCCTCCTGCTGTTGACGTCAGGGCCGCTGGCGGGGCCTTCTTGTTCCCGTCTGTGGCGCCCGAGGGCTTGAGGTTCATCAAGGCCTGCGCCTGCTTCTTCTTCTCGCGAGACCTCTTGGACATCTCGTAGGCCGTCTGGTAGATCCCGGCATAGAGCACGAACAGGACCCCGAGCGGGATCCAGTAGTAGGCCACGATGAGAGATGTGTTGAACACCGGGTTCTTGAGGAACTGCACCATGCACTCGCCGGGACCGAGGTCGCGGTAGCCGATGAAGTGCTCCCAGCCGAAGATGCTGACGAAGAAGAGCAGCGCGGGCACGATCCACGTGACGACGATCATGATGATGACGCGGTTCTTGGTGCGCCACGAACGGTACTTGGCCGCGATCTTGACGGAGCAGAAGCGGTCAATTGTGATGAGCAGGACGGTGAACTGCGACACGAGGCACACCGTGTAGTCGACGGAGAGCCACAGGTCGCATAAGATGGGCCCGAGGTCCCAGTAACCGATCAGGACGTACACGGTGTAGAAGGGCATCGATACGCTGCCGATCAGGAGGTCCGTGATGGCGAGCGACGCCAGGAAGTAGTTGGAGGGCTGGCGGATGGCGCGCTCGCAGATGAAGGCCAGCAGCACCAGGATGTTGCCGAAGACAGTGATGATGATGCACAGCGATAAACAAACGCCGATGAAGATGGTGGAGGGAAGGCTGAAGGGCGGCGGGATCGGCAGAGGGTCTGCGGTGGAATTGCAAGCAGCGGGCGAGGAGCCGTTCCCCACGCAGCAGGAGGCGTTCGCCAGGAGACACTGCAGATCCAGGTCGCGCAAGTCCCCGGCGCCATCGAGGAGCTCAAGCAGTGTGCCATTGACGACGTCCGTCCAGTTGAGAGGGCGCGAGCCTGCGTAGGGCGTGCCCTCCTCGCCGTCGGAGGGGACAGCTCCCGACTTGGTCTTCCGCCTGTAAGAAGGGAGAGCGTTAGCTGGTGGTCATGGTAAAAGATCAGGCGACGAAACCTCGAGAGGAAACGTCTCGTTTGTGAAAGAATGGCGGATACAGGAATATGAAAATGAGTAATGGATTCACTCCTATAAAGACACATCATTTTTATTGAGGAAACAAAAATGAAATGCATGTTTACGCTGGACATTTGTTTTTCGAGAACACTATTCGGCCTCGAATTATATTTGGATTAATATTTGGCCATTGTAGTCTGACCTAGTGTATAAGGACTATATATCTATTATTACATATTTCATTTGTTCTCCAGTATCAATAGCAAATTCTAAGTATTAGATAAGATTCCAACATATTTACATGAGCATTTATATCGCAATGTAGAACAGTCTTCCTATTTTACAACACAAGGGAAATTGAATTGAAAGAACAAAGAGGCACGTCCCAGGCGGGAGCATTACGGAACAGCAAGTGAGTAAGATCGGAGGCAACAGGCGGGGTGTCATGGAATATTCACGGGCCGAAAGGAAGGAGAGGGTTACACGAACATGCACCTTCAAGGAAGTTCCCTGAGGATCACATCGATATAATGAAACACGGCAAGCATATTCCGTAAAGTTTCTTAAGTTTTTTATTGTGCGACAACATTTGCCATACAGTGACAATAAGGGGAGGTTTGCTAGAACCTACTATACATGTCACAAAGGTATATAATTCTAGGTTGGACTTACTTCTAGTTATTCATGAAGTGACGTCATAGACAACGATACATATCGAAGTATATAACTATGTATGATATATGTATAGATTATATATATATACATATATATGTATTATATGTATATATGTAAATATATATATATATATATATATATATATATATATATATATATATATATATATATATATATATATATATATATATATATATATATATATATATATATATATATATATATATATATATATATATATATATATATATATATATATAATATATATATATATATAATATATATATATAATATATATATATATATATATATATATATATATATATATATATATATATATATATATATATATATATATATATATATATATATATATATATATTATATATAATATATATATATATATATTATATATATATATATATATATATATAAGCATATACAAACACATTACACATATAACATAAAATATTATATACATATCCACACATATGTATAAATATATTATGTATATATATATAGGGTGTGCATGTGTGTCTGTTCGTATATGTTAGTGTGTGTGTGTTCGTATGCGTTAGTGTGTTTGTGTGTGTCTGCGTGTTTGTGTCTGTGTGTGTGTGTGTGTATGCGTATGCGTGTGAGTAAAAAAATGGAAAAAGAGAAAAAAGAAAGAAAGAAAAAGAAGAAGAAGAAAGAAAAGGAAAGAAGAAGAAAAAGAAGAAAAGCGAGCGTGCTATTTAGGAAGCGGCTCGGCGTGTCCGCCTCAGCCTTCCTCCGTGAGTTGAAATTAATCCCGATATAATAAGCTTAGTAATGAGGAGGTGAGAGAGAGACAAAAAAAAAAAAAAAAAAAAAAAAAGAATACAGTGATAATTGAAAAAAACACAGAAATTCGGAGAAATTCGGAGAAAGAAGGACAAAGAAGAGAAACACAGACACACACACACGCACACACACATACAAACGTGAGTGTCCACATACAAAAATACAAATACAAATAAAGAACAAGATATGGAGGAGGAAAAAAATAAAAAGAAAGGTAGAAAGAAACATCGTCCAAAGGCATAGCGAACCCCAGGCCTCACCCATAAAGCCGTCTCCCACGTGTTGAATCAATAGCAAGTCGACCTTAGAGACCACCCCCCCTAGATGCGGCCAGGCACAGCCCACAGAATGCGAGAGAAGCCGTTTAAGCGTGACCCTAGGCCGGGGGGGGGGTGAGGGGAGGGGTGAAGAGGATTTGAATGAGGAGTGAGTGAGGAGTGAGTGAGGAGTCAAAGAGGAATTCGAGAGGGGGGGGGGCGGAGGGTAAAGGGTGAGAGAGGAGTGAGTGAGGAATGAAAGAAGAGTGAGTGAGGAGTGAAACAGGAGGGAGAAGGGAGTGAATGAGGAGTGAGGAAGATGCGAATGTAGAGTGAAAGATAAGGGATAGAAAAAGGAAAGAGCAATGAATAAGCAGTGGATGAAAAATACATGTAGAGGGAATGTAGAGTGAAAGAGTGAATGAGAAGTGAATATGTAGTGGATAAAGAGAGATAGAGAAATGAAAGAAAGAAAAAAAGTAGTGAGAGAGAAGTGCTCATTGAAGTAAATGAAAAGTGAATAAGGAGTGAATGTGGAGTCAATGAAGAGCGGCAGAAGGGTGATAAAGGAGTAAATGTATAGAGAATAAAAAGTGAAAGAGGAGTAAATAAGTAATGAAGAATGAGGTTGGTGGGGATGGAAAGAGTTGGGGGTAAAGAAGGTTGATGGAGATGGAGGGGTTGCTG